GCAAAAATTTTTCAACTTACTTAAAAAGTTCTCGAGATATGGCGAAGTACATAAGAAATAAAATTAACATCAAGTGGTGGCTCACGTGAACAAACTATTAAGATCGTATTTCCCAGATTGCCGCAAAGCCTTACATTTTGGGAGTCAGAAATTTGAATCCATCAACAACAAAAAAAAGTATATCTATTCAGAGAAAGTAAATTTTTTTGTCTGATTTCGTAACGTAAGATATCGTTTAAATTAAATAATGAGCATATTTGAGGTCAACCCCTCAAACCATTAACATTGAGTCCTAAAACCTGAAGATCCGATCATTAGATCAAAAGTTATTGAGGTTGGTCCGTTATATTTTTTGTAATTTATTTAGCTTTATAAAATATAGGAAGATTTTCAATGTTATTTTATCTTTTTTTTTTGCTTATAGCCTAAGCATACCTTCTGCTTTCGACGTTTAACTCAAACACTTTTTGAATGAAAGATGCTAAGTCTGTAGTTGGTAAAGAAAAAATAGAATTACCTGAATAATTTTTGATCAGATTTATATACGTAAAGTGAACACATTATATACTTAGTACGATTCTTCTGCATTTAGCATTACGCAATCTTTTGATTTAAAATTGGACACAAAAACATACTTTTTCTTTTTTTAAAAGAAACATGTGTTTTATTCTGCGAACATTAATTTACTTCCCCTTGTAAGCATAGAACATTGTAAAATGTATAATATTATAAAAATGCTTAAATAATTTCATGCTTAATATTAGTAAAAAAAGGAAAAAAAATCAAAATATAAAGAGTTGGCCTTGCATAGATTTTTTGCTCAAAAGCCACCAAGTGGTCATATTTAAATTCTCTAACACATATCTAAACCATTCTCGGTGTTTGAACTCCTAGCGTCTTAATATGCTGCCAAAAAAGAGGCTTTTTAAGGATGAATTTTTTGATTTTTGCCCGAGAACTGTCTGCTAATACGTTCATCTATGAAATTTGTAAAATGCACAGTTAAATTTTCTGCCAAGGAATCTCAGTTTTGTCTAAAGAACATTTAGAATCTTCTTCCACTGAAATCTTCATATACGTTTGCGTGCGATGCATAATTATAGGGGAGAGTGGGGTCAATTGTAACATTTTGTACTTAATTATTTTTAACTAACAAAAAATTCAATATATTATTAGCATTAATTGACAGACGAGTAAAGTGGACTATCCTCTACTAGAAAAAAAAACCTTATTTTAAATGTTATTATATTAGTTATTAACAATTTTTGACAGTCGTGCACTTGTTACAATTGTCCCCACTTACGGGGTCAATTGTAACAGTTCATAAATTCAACTAAAACATAGTTAATTATACATATTATCATAGTTGTGATATATTTTTTTATTGATCAAAATAGTAGTGATATTTTAGGAGTAAAAATAATAATGAGCAGAGACCTAAAGGGTTAAACTTTTAACTTTAAGGGGTTAAAAATTTTAATTTATGCTGTGAAAGGTGACAAATAAAATAATGCACATGCAACATAATATAAATGATATAGGAAACTATTGGTGGTTCTTAAAGAGTTAAGTAATGGTTTGTAAACATAAGATTATTTATTTTCAGCTGTTACAATCGTCCCTTTACTTATTGTTACAATCGTCCCCAAGACGCCATTTCAGCTTCATTTGTTAAAAACAATGCTAGTTAATTAACAAAACTAATCTTTTTTTACTTTGAAAAGTTAATTAAGGTGTCCATTTACATATTCGGTTAATAATTTTTATTTGTTTAAACAAAATTACTTTGTTACAATATAATATTCTAATACTACCAAAAAAAGTACTTACGTAGCGTGAAAATATCTTTTGTGATGTAACTCTTTCAAAAGTACATAAAAATGGTTGCCAGCAGGGGTGTACATGTAGATTTATTAAATACACCTTGTGTGCCACCTAGAAACTAAATCTAGAACCCGACACTCGAAATTTTTGCTCTGTTACAATCGAACCCTGTTACAATTCACCCCACTCTCCCCTACACTAATGACTATTTTCTACAAAATTTCTATGATTTCACATTCCTTAATTTCTTATAATTTTGAATAAGAATTAAAAAATATAATGAATTGTCTTTATATGTTTAATTGGCTTATAAATTTTTATTTTAATACAAAACAAAGCTTACAGCGATGAGACGGAAAATCATTCGATAAAGTGTATCGTTTAACGATCATGATGATCTGGTTCATCAATATAAATTGCACAGTAATACGTTCAGAAGCGTTATAATTACACTTAATGTTTCGATGATATGCGTTCTACTGCATTTAAAAAGCAGAAAAACGTTGATAAATGCAAATTCAATACATTAATCTCTCAGGTAATGTCTAAGGATAATTATGACATCACTTTAAGTGTAATACCATAATACAAATTTCATCCTTTTGTCAATTTGAGGCTGGGAAATGGTTTTTATATTCATGAAGTAATTCGGTGTCTTAATTTCCTATCCCTTCAAAAATAACAGCGAATTTGATTTTTGAAACATTTGGTTGGAAACACTGTCAAAATAGTTGAATTTAAAATGGTTGGTGAAATTACACAACAACTTGTTTTTGTGCTGGGAAAAAATTATTGCGTTAATTACACTAGGGAGCAAATTTTTTGATGCATTTATACAAAAAATAGATCTTGCCTAATTCAGGTGAGGGGATTGCAAATTTGAAATTAGTTTTTTGATCAAAGCAACAGAGTTTTTAAAAAGACATTTTTAGACAATTTTTTGACGAAATGTTAAAATATATGTTAAGGCTAAATGTTTAAAAACGTTACATATGACAGGAATTACGCAAATATTGCAATAAACTTCTAAGGGATGTCAGGTACATCATCAAGATTAAAATTGCCTGGGAAACCATTCCCAAAAATACTGTCGTACGTGGGTAGGAGTGCTTTCCTACTATGACCTATGATTATTATTACCTCATTAATATGACCTGTTATCATTATACCCTTTATTTATCCCTATTATTTGTTCAAAAGCACAAGAATAAACAGTTCATAAGAGGGGAAGCACCCTTAGCGGCGTATGACGACATTTCTGAGCATGGTTTCCTATACATATTTAATCTTGATGCTGTGCATTAACTGTCCTAGAAGTTTGTCGCAACATTTGTGCTACTCCCTATTATATATAACGTTTTTAAATTTGTAAATTTTGACAAAAATGGACTAAAAATGTCATTTAAAAAAATGTCGCTAAAGAGTATCTTAGACCTGATTAAAAAAATCTCATGCAACAGAAAGCAAAAAAAAAAAAATTTACCCCAGGGTTATCAGAGAATTTTTATGGTCTTATTAACAACTGTTTTTATATATATATCTGTGATAGCAAACTGAAATTTTATTACTATTTTTATTCACCCTATCCTTAGTAAATTTTTTATCGCATTTTTATATTTATAAAAGTTTTTGAAAGTCTTGTTTCATTTGTAGAATAATTATCTTTTAAAAACTTTTCCTTCTTTGATAGTTATAGCTTGGTTAGGCTTCGTATTTAATTTACGAAGTCCTTAAATTAGTCTACAGTATTTCAATTTTCGAATCAAGTCAGCAAAATAACACTTCATTCTTGGAGCCAAAGGGACTTTAATCAAATTAATTAATTTGTAAAAACTTGCATCTCAATGTTTTTACATTTTATTTCAGCTACACTTTTAGTTTTAATTAATGCGAACTCAAAGTATTTTCGCCTTTACAAGTTACGGTCGTTACTTATTAAAATATAAAGGAATTGCCACCAGCTATTTAAAAAACGTGTTAATTGAAATAATAATTTTTATGCTCTTTTTTTCAGTATTTGTTTTATACGCTCGTTCATAACTTGTTTTAAATTTTAGTCATTCCCGAAAAGATCGTTCTTATTAAAATTTGTCTTTCTTTTCTCAAAAGTTGTGCGCTTATTAAGTTGCTTTTAATTACTTCATTGTCATTTTTATGAAGCAAAGTTTCAACACAAAAAAACAAACTTTTATTTTAATTTCAATTTAATTTATTTATTTTTAAATATATGAGAAAGAAAATAAGTTGAAGGGAAATAATTGATATGCTAAACATGTAAAATCTTAAATATTATTTATGTTATCATAAATAAATAATATTTTCGAAAAAGGTTTATTATTTATTCATCTTTATTAAGCGTTTTGAAACAAATTAAATTAAAAATTTGATGCTGGTAGTAGAAATTTTTTAAAGAATATATGTAGAATAAATTTTAAAAAGTAGGTTTATTATTATTGTTGGAATTTTTCGAATATTGAATTAATACATTCAAATATAAATAAAACTTCTGGAGATTTTTTAAAGAAAAAATTAGTTTTGAAATCAAAGTTAGATTGAAAATTTATTTTAAAAGCAACAAGTTCCTTATATTTAAACTTTATTTTGTAGTTTTACTCAACTCACAAATAGTTTTTGTACAGCAATTTTTTGAGGCAGGAGGAAAAGGAAGAGGCGTGTTATAAGGAAGAAAAAGCACTAACAGTCAAATTTGGCTATGCGTTTAAAACAAACAATTTTCGATTTATCTTAAAAAGCATCGTATATGGCAACGTAGCATTGCAACTATATTTCTTTTTCAAAAAATTTCTGTTATTAAATTTGAGATATATTTCGAATTTTAGTTATTTCTTATCTTGGATCAAAGCAAAACGTAGAGAACTTATCATGAAAAAAAAATCAATTTTTCAATTTTTCTAAAGAAATCTTATTAATCTTAGAATCTTGCATTTGGCATTCGCAATAAAAGGCAAAACATCCCTTAAGCAAAGCTGTTTTATCCCATTTGTAGGAATGTTTATTTTTCTAAGTTCCACGGGTCTGAGCTTTGTTCTATTTACAAATAGAATCCTTTCCAGAAATAAAGATTTGTTTTGTAATTCCATTTTGATAATGCGTCACCTAAAGCTTATCGCACATTTGCTTTGATAACAACACATATTGTTTCTTTTTAAAAGCATTTCTTATCAATTCAAAAAAAAAAATTCCAGTTTCGGTATTTTTACTATTCTGTCATTTTTATATAACTGATGAACGCGAGGTGACGATAAAAAATCACAAGATTTATGTTATTTCCTTTCTGCCAAGCCAAACTTTCTCTATGAAAAAGTTTAATTTTATTGAATTTATTGAACTTCTTTATTTCATAAAAACTAGGATTTAAATCGTTTTTACGAAATCAATTGTTTAAACTAAATAGGTGAAATATCTTTTAGAGGACGATGATCATTAAATGCAAATGCTGTCCCAGTCAAAATCCTTCTTCAATGCTTCTGCAAGCAATTTTAGCAATTTAATGTCTACTCCACTGAAATGTGTTGTGTCTGAAGAAAAAGAAATGGATTTTCCTTATTCTGAAACTAAAAACATTAAGAACTGTCCGCCTCGGAATCTGAAGTTCACATATTTTGCAGCTGTTTCAGCGCTAATGTATTGTGTAGTCTTAGGCTTAGCCGCTTCCTTTACAGCTCCGGCGTCTGTGGATATGCAAAGATATGGAAGTCGATTCTATGGGATAACTCTTTCTCAAATCACGTGGATTGCAAGTCTGCCCACAGTCACGAGTAGTTTTGGTAATATATTGTCTGGTAAGTAAATAATTTAGATATCTATTTTGAAATGTAAATTTTTTTAAGGATTTTTAGTGTGTAGGGACTCTGCCTTAACTCTTCCATATTGTAAGGAAGATACTCGAATTTTTACTCACAATTTTTTTTTGGTTAATACACATTGAACACAAAAAATGTGAGTTAGGGGAAATGTATAAATAATGGTTGTAAGAATCATTTCTTAGATACTTAAAATGCAATACTTTTCAAATAAATTTTCGTTAAAACTCTAATTCAGTAAGGATAGTTATATTTTGTAAAAAGATACTCTTAACATGCAGAATTATGCAGTAACTGCAGATGTTACTTTTCTTTCTTTATTTATTTATAAAAAATTGGGCACCTGGGCCGCGCAGAAGGCCCATATCCCATACATCATGAAATAGTATAAAAAGTTAAAATAAAAGATAGTTTGAGTTCAGCAGTCTATGGGGTGGCTGTTACAGGGAGACAAGCACCTTGCTTGCATAACTGAAAGAAAATGAAAATAATAAGAGCAACTTGCTGTAATCTGTGAATGGCTGTAGTTTGATTGTCAACGTGAAGTAACATAGGTCAGGATTTCAGTATTGGTAAAGTGTTTGATGCTGTGGACTATTGATACTTTGGATTATTGATGTAGACTATAGATGCTGGAATTGAAGACTATTATTTGTGCTGATAGTTGTGGTATGAGGCGTGGGAGGTGAAATGAGCGGCTATTGGTCTTAGTTTATCGTCTTTTTTATAGTTCTCGAAGTTAAAAATCTGNGCAATTTAATGTCTACTCCACTGAAATGTGTTGTGTCTGAAGAAAAAGAAATGGATTTTCCTTATTCTGAAACTAAAAACATTAAGAACTGTCCGCCTCGGAATCTGAAGTTCACATATTTTGCAGCTGTTTCAGCGCTAATGTATTGTGTAGTCTTAGGCTTAGCCGCTTCCTTTACAGCTCCGGCGTCTGTGGATATGCAAAGATATGGAAGTCGATTCTATGGGATAACTCTTTCTCAAATCACGTGGATTGCTAGTCTGCCCACAGTCACGAGTAGTTTTGGTAATATATTGTCTGGTAAGTGAATAATTTAGATATCTATTTCAAAATTTTAAATTTTTTTAGGGATTTTTAGTGTGTATGGACCGTAACTATTCCATATTATAAGGAAGATACTCGAATTTTTATTCAAAAATTTTTTTTGGTTAATACACATTGGACATAAAAAATGTGAGTTAGGGGAAATGTATAAATAATAGTAAAGATTTCACCAAATATGCATTAATGACTGGTGCTGTAGGAATCATTTCTTAGATACTTGAAATGCAATACTTTTCAAATAAATTTTCGTTAATACTCTAATTCGGTAAAGAAGTTATATTTTTTAAAAAGATACTCTTAACATGCAGAATTATGCAGTAACTGCAGATGTTACTTTTAAAAAATTTCCATTTTTGAATACTTTAATCTTTTAATTTTTGCCTTTCAAAATGTAAATGCAAAGGTTTTCTATTAAGGTTGTAAGTCTTGATTTAAGCGAAGGAAAAGAACTCGGCAGAATAAATAAAACTCACTCAAGGAGCCAAATTTCAGTTTTTGGAATTTATAACTCAATAATTACTTCTAAATAAATAAAAAAAGTTTTCATTTTTATATCTTAGAAAACGACTTGTAATATAAATTATGACCGATTCGCATGGAATACTCAGGTATCCTCTTTGTTGCTTAGTAATTTTGAATATTATTAGAAGAAAAAGGAAACCTCGAGTCAAAAGTTTGCTTTAAGATTATGTCTTTTTTAAAAATTCTTTGACTTTGAGTGAATTTAACCCACATTTATGTTACATTTTATTTTATTTTATAACCGTCGTTGAATTTGAGTTTACGACTACTAATGTTCAAATCCATAGCCCTGAAATTTTGAACCCGTTCCAGAAGACAAGGGATCTCCTGGATCAAGTATAGGGATAAATTTGCCTTCGCAGAGAACTTTTGATGGAACTAACCGGCATTTGCATTCCATGTGGAGGGGAAAAAACGAAAAGCTCCCCCTGTTAGCTTAACGGCAAGGGAACTCTAACCCATGATCCGTCTACCACTGAAGATATTTTACGTCAGCACTGTGGTCGGTGTAAACCAGATGCGGTATATGTTTCAACCAGCCATCGCTGGGATTCGAACCCGACTCACCTTATTGGAAGGCGAATGCTCTATCCCCTGAGCCATCAGGACTCATTTATGTTACATTAGAAGATTTGATAAATACTTCTTAATTCTGGCATTTAAGTTCGTGAATTGTCTTTCATTAGTGAGATTCTATGTCAGGTCCTTGGCCCACCAAACGGTTGGGATATTAAACGAACTTCTTTTTCCTTTCCATAGTACATATTCAATCAAGAGTCATTTACAGGGGATTGATAGCCTGGTTGCTAGGGTGTTCGTCCCATGAACGTGAGGTCGTGAGTTTGATCCCTACCTTCCGAAGACTCTTCGTGTAGTAAATGGCGACTGGTACACGTTAAATTTGATGGGGCACAAAGCCCTTCATGTTCCCATAACAGATCAATACCTCTGGGGTTTGACTAATTGGAGATTGATTGTTCTCCAGTTCAGGTGAAAATTGCGGTCCGTGCACGAATAAATGGATGTATCAATTTGTCCTCCCTAAAAACGGGCTGTGACGTGTGTGTGGCTAAAGACATATTCTTTGTCATAGATGGCGCTACTGGAAAACAAGAAGCGCACCATCTGCCTAAAATTCGCTTGGTTTCACCGAGCAGCCTTGCTGGTGTTATCAAGTGGCTTTAGAAACAACAACAAAAACAGAGTCACTTACTGAAAATTTATACTTTTACCGTCTAGTGGATCTCACGTTCAGTAAAAAAAGAATCATGTTTGTTTAATTAATGTTCGTATTACTGTTTCCTAAGGATATTTTGCACGAACATTCATCTTGTTCAAAATCGATATTTTAAAATTACCAATCAAGAGAAAATTTATTCTAGTTCATATTCCCCGATTTGTAATTTGTTTTAACAAATCAGAAATTTTAACAAATATATTGTGCTGATGCTCATAAATTTTTAAAAAAAAATCTAATTTAAGCGGGATTTTTGGAAATACTAAGTTAAATGAAATATAAAAATGATAAGTCTTATAATATAAAGCGGCATATGTGACTTAATTTTTAACGCCTGTTATGACAAGTTGAAATTTGTGTATCTGTACCTTTTGACCGAAAACCTTTAATTTGCATCCAATGTGTTTACACAAGACTCGGGTTTTTATAACAATCAAATTTTGGAATCTGATTTCTAAAATGTCGTGCACCCAAAGATGTAGTTTGCATGGAGGGATATATCGCCCACGAGACACATTGTCAAAGCAAAAACACTCCTCTACAAGAAAAAGAAATCTATATGCGCACGGTCATTATCTTGCTGATAAAAAGTTTTAGAAATCATTTGGTTTTGGAAAAAACTTTATAAATACAATTTCTTTGATAGACTTCTCAGCTTAAGATGTGCACTTACAGCTTCGGAAAATAAAAAAAGGCGTTAAAAACAAAAACATAACCTGTAAAAGTGTATACGGTTAATTGTTCAGATTAACTAAGCATACCATTGATTAGAACATGACTAGAAGTTCAAAGCACCATCGCAATTTTTAACACCAATAAGGAAGAATAGAAAAATAAAAGAAAAATTAAATAAATGAAATAATAAAAACTTTTTTTTCTGATGAAATTTTCTCCTTTATTTTCTAGCTCCCATAAATCTTACTTTAAAATTGCTAGTCACTCTAAACTAACTCTTGGTGGTAAAGGGAACAACTATGTCAGGAAAACGTGAAATGTTATCTGCTATTTTAATAGTTTGTAGAAATTACATAATTTCATTCATTATAAAAGATACCTATCGATAAATATCGAATAAACCAGTTACTTTCAACGATATCTAATCTAGAAAGTGGCCTCACAAACAATTAATAAAGATAAGCGATGTTAAATTGCACTTTACTGTAACAAAACAAAATTAAAGTAAACAATCCTGCACTAAAACAATTCAGAAATTCTTATTAGTACCAATTGCGTAAACAGATACCAAAGAATGCAGTTTTCGTGGAACCAATGACAGATTACATTGCATGATTTACACTTTTTGTGTTTAGAATTTGAAAATTATGTAAATCATTCATTTCTTTAATCATATTTGATAAAGTTACAATAGTTAAACTTATTATCCAAAAATATTAAAAAAATAATGTATTTTTTGTCTGTGTGGCCAATATAGACTCCCAAATTATCCGACTGAGAGCAAGGAAATTTGGCATACTGATAGCTCGAAGCAGGGAGAAGGTTACTGCTGAAATTAGAATATTCTACTGCAAACCGTTCGGACGATTAGAGCAGAAAACGAAATGGATTTTTCTGATTTGTTACGCTTTAGCTATTGTTTTAAATTACACTATAGACGATTCTGTTTTTTTTATAAATATTTTAATTATAACATCACTGATATTTGCTTGCTTGCAGCTCTATACAATCAAAAAATTTTTAATACTTACTTTAATATTTAATTATTTTTTTATGCCGGATAAATTCAGTGATTAAATTTAACGTGGTAGCATGTATGGTTTACCTTACCAAATTGATATTTCTAAGGATATCTGATACCACGTTTTTATTTTGTTCATAGTATATCTTTTAAATATGTTGGGATAAAAGTAAATAGTTAAAAATCAACGAAAATTGAAAGGAAAAAATATAGTTATTGCAATAGTATGTAACTAGCATTGAAAGGCAAAATTAATAGCAAAGTGGTGCTAATTCGTTTAGGAGAATTACACAAAATCGCCGCACTATTATTTACGCCAATGATGCTCAACTTACTTCGGTAACATAGGCATATTAAATAAAGGAAATAAGCTATTGACTAAAACGAAAAATTTATTGAGTAAAGGTACTATTATTGACACAATTGATTAATTAATATCAGTAAATTTATTAATTGAGATAAAAGAATAACTTATGTATTAAAAAGTGCTTATTGCTTAAGAAGAAGAAAAATTCATCATACGCAGTTAACGCTTAATTAATTTCGGTAATACATACTACTGGTATTTAAGTAATTGGTGTAGTTTTAATAAGAATTCCACAACGGATTTTACGTAGTTTCTGAAAATATATTTTCCAGGGATATAAAAGATAGTGTATTAATATTTTAATGAATGAGAATTAAAATAAATTTTCTCCACCACTGGTCATGCTCTAAAAACCAAGTTAACATCTTATCAGAAATCTATTAGTTTTTAAAGTTTCGGCTTCAGTTTGCAACCACCGATAAAATTATTATACTGATATATTTGGTAATTAATGAAATTACTGAGCAGCTGTAATACCGCTACTGAGGGGTGTCTTACGGCCTCACTCAAAGGAAAGGTACTGGAAAAAATTACTTGATAGTGGTAAATTTGGCTGAGTAGGTCGCGAGCAGTGCACATCATGACAAATGAGACTGGAGTTCAGTAAATCTATATTCTGATGAGATGAACTACAAAAAACGTTTTATCTACGATTTAATAACGTAAAACCACCTAGAAGGGCAACAAATGATAATAATTTAAATAAATGATTGAAAATTATTTTAAGCTTTATTAATTGTGTCTGCCTTTTTTTTTCAGTTCCATGTATGATTTTGTAGTGTTGTTCAGTACTACTTTACTGAAAAAAATTTTTCTACAACCCGTACTAAGAACGGGTATTCAGCTAGTAATAAACTTAATTAAAAGGGATCCGTATCTTTAATTTCTCTTTCTTTATTAGAAATTCATTAAAAATGAAATTTTTTTAAATAAATATAGAATAAAATAAACCTTTAAAAATTTTTTACAGTGTTTCAACTAACTTCCGGAACAATAAAATCTATTTAACTCTAATACTTGTAATAAAATATGAGAATATTTTGTACATGACAATAAATAAAAATATTTAATTTTTAACTAATATATTGATTTCAACTTGATTAAAAAAGGAAAATGATACAACCTGAAAACATAAATAATGTTTATTTTGTAAT